ATTTAAAGTGCAATAAGCAAAATTACTAAAAAGTTTGGTAAAATAACTTTCAATCATAAATAGATTGAAAAAGTCAGATGAAAAGATTAGTAGCACTTATTAATATTAGTAGTAAAAGTAACACTTAGTGTCTTTTAGTGTCTGATAAACCTCAGATTTAAAGCATTAATTTGTTTTATAATGAGTGTGTTAGGCCACTAGATGGCGCCAGATTTTTATTTAGCAGCTCAGTGTTCAGCATCAGATGAAGAGTTTCAGCAGAGTTCTGTTAAAACAGTTTTCATCATAGAGCATTAACATGATTATATATATATTATATTTTTACCAGTATACGGCATGTTTTACATTTTAAATGCCTAGCTACATTAAGGTTTCTCAACTGACATATTTATGTACATATAAATATATACATCTGTTGTAGAGGAAAACTATATTTAAAAAAATACTTTTTTCATTCAGCTTTAGTAAGATATGTATACAAACACCATTCTGTTGGTAAACTTGCTCCACATTTTCAGATGTTCTCAATGAATCTAAAAATGATACTAAAATGTAAATAAACCTTATTCTACAATCTAAAAACACATCAGTATAAAACTGATTTTACAGACGTGCACTTATCTTCACATTTAATTAATATTTCTTGTGAGATGTTCATGCCAGGTCAGAGTTTTGCTGTAGAAAATTAAAGCAATTGATTAATTAACATCCATTTTATTATTAATGTTGTGTTTGATTTATATGTTTTTTACTAATAAAAGTATTCAGACTGTGATCATCAAGCGTTCCAAATACAGAAACTGATCATTTAAACACATTTTGTTGGTCTAAATGTGGCTGAATGTGTCCATTTGGCTGCTAAGCAGAAGTATCGTATTTAAACTATAATACATTGTATACTGTAAAATAAATAAACTCATTCAGTATCATGCTGATAAATTACTGTTAAACTAACTGTCATTATTAACCTTCAACATTAGTTATTAATATTTATTGAAAATTGCAAAACGTTTTCTTATAATGGTTCACCTTATGTCTCACTCTGTCACATTTCTGTTTTTAAACTGTATATATTTTATCCATAAATGTGTTTATTTTTCCAGATTTGCTAAAACAATCTTGACTCATCTAAAAAAAAATCTCATGTTAAAACCCGTTCAGCAGCAATTTTTTTTCTTTACTTTATTTAACCAGGTCAAACCCCGGTGAGATCCAGATTTCATTTGCAAGAGGGACCTGGGCAGAAATCCGCAACACGAGACAACCTGGTTACACAAAAATAAAACAAATTCAGCCATCACAAGTTAAAACAAATAACAAAACAGTTTRAAAGCAATGGCACTGATGGRTAGAATCATGTTGCTTGTTTTTCAGATCCCCTCGAATAACTCCACTGAAATAAGATCTGACATCCTGAGTTCAGRCTGGAGCTGATTCCGTGCTATAGGAGCCATGACACTGAATGCTTGCTTCCCTTTTTCTGTTCAAAAGACTAAACAATCTGATAAAGAAGGCTGGTTTTGTTCTGGGGATGACTGTAGAACCTCTGGAGATGATTGTGCAAAGAAGGATTTTAGATAAAATCAAAAACATTGTGGACAACCCTGACCATCCTCTTCATCAGACTGTCMTAGAAGAACAGCATGTCTTCAGTCACAGGCTTCTTCAATTTCATTATAATACAGACCGCCACAGAAGATCTTCCCTGCCCACAGCCATCAGCAACCATAACTCCTTAGTTAATATTAATAACTAATAAATAAAATTATCATACAAGTTATTCATGTAAATAAATAGAGAATAAAAGTAGACCAAGAACAGAGCCTTGTGGTACTCCGTTTGTAATTGTAAGAAGAGATGAAGTGGAGCCAGCCATTTGAACTCTTTGTATTTGACAAATAATCAGCTACCCATGTGAAAACTCAATCCTGTGCAAAATTGTAATCAATAGCATATAATTYACTGTGTCAAATGCCTTTGGTAGATCGATAAACAAAGCAACACAATGCTTTTTGCTATAAAGAGTCTGAATAAGCTCATTAAAAAACATTAAAATGGCAGTAACAGTGCAATGCTCTTTTCTAAAACCGGACTGTGCATTTTGTAAAATCGAATTTGAATCTAAAACATTCTTTCACTGGTCTGCAACTAATTTTTCAAAACATTTTGCTAAAACACATAATTTAAAAAATGGTCTTAGCTTTAAAGCTTTGATGATTTCCCACCCTTGAATAGAGGTGATACAAAAGCTGATTTCCAAACATTAAGGATTTTGTTAGAGATCAGACTTAGATTGAAGATGTGGGACAATGACTCAGGTATAAACTCTTACTCTGCAGCCAACTTCAGAAAAAAAAGGATTATCTGGCCCTGCTGATCTTATTTAACTTATATGTGAAGTTTTATTATTTTTGTCATTTAGAAAAAAACAGTAAAAGGTAATATTGTCAAATTTCGCAGAAAGGTGAAACATGTTTTAAAAGTACTTTRAAAACATCATGAAAGTCCAAATTTAAGTGTATATTTTAATCTTAAAATGAAGCTTAAAACTACATTTATTTAATCAGACTTTATTATTTTTAATTTATAGCTTCAACAAAATAATAATTATCCAAACAGAACCGTTATAAAAAGTGAAAGTAAGAGGTCACAGTGACAGATTTACATGAGTGACTCATTCTTGGCTCTTGGAGTTTATCTYAAAACAAAACTGCAGGATTAAAATGTTTCAGGATGTTGGACGTCCTGAGACCTATCAGGGCTGACACCAAACTAACTGCTTTGTTCAGTTGGGTCGATGKTCTGTCAGAGGAAACCAGATATGATCAAGGCGACAGCGTTTTTCAAAACACCCATGTTCAGTTTGAACGAGGTGAACAATCGTGAACCTGACTCTCTGGGTTTTTCCAAATCAGTGATTCTCACAGAACAGTTGTGAATTTGATTCAGTGGATGTTTTAATGTTCCAGGCAGGTTTTTTTTGGGAGCAGCAGGGGTTTATGTTTAGACTTGGAAATGAGAGGAACAACATGTCCAGTTTTAAAAAGGAGGTCATAAACAAATGACAATAAACTTTCACATGGAATATTAACTTCATTTTACTGCTATGAACAGTGAAATGCTGCAAGACTTGAAATGATCAAATAAACTCATAAAATAATAAGACACAGTAAATTTTTAACTTTTCTTACAGTGATGTTGAATGGTTAACCTGACTTTTCCTTTATTGAAACCTGGTTCAGCATTCATGTTGCAGATGGTAGTATGGAATTTGTCTTTTGTAACTTATATATATTACSAGTTTGCTATTTTTAACTTTTATCTAGCCTTTTACTACGTTTAGCTTCTAGCTAGCCTTTTGACCTTTTTAGATATCATTTTGCAACTTTTAGCTTTTTTGGCTTTTGCTATAGCTTCCAATGGGGTTTTTTTTGGTTAGCATATCGTGCTACCTTTTATCTAGGCTTTTGCTAGCTTCTAGCTATATTTTTTGCTACTTTTAGCTGGCCTTTTGCTACTTTTACCTTGTATCTGGTCTGTTGCTAAGTTTAGATTCTAGGTATCCTTTTGCTATCTACAGCGGGCAAAATAAGTATTGAACACGTCAACATTTTTCTCAGTAAATATATTACTAGAGGTGCTAA